CTCTCAGGTTCGTAGAGGACACCACTGACAGATGTTCAGCCTTCGTCCTCCTAAGTGGGTAACATAACGTTAATGATGTAAATTTATCCCAAGAGTTGAGATTTTAATTTTTTAGACGGAACTTTCACATTGAATGGAATCATGTGCTCCAAAATTCGGTTTGCGAGAGTGTAAATAACACTGTAAAACAGTCATATCTAGATCGTGTAGTAGTATTTCATCTGGGGTGGTCGAACAAAATGAGTCTGAATAGTTGGATAGGTATCACGCTTAAGAAAGGATATCACTAGTCCGAATCTAGCAGGACTTAACCGCATTTCTCGCAGTTCCCATGTGCATGTTAAACCACAGATTCCAAACTTATTCTTTGACAAGCATTTACGGAGGAAGGTTAACTTTTAATGCTTACAAGCATAGCTCATAGTGGTATTCTCGAATGAATTTCATTTAAAGTCTATTTCCATAGTATAAGGGGCATGTAACGTGTAGACAAGCTATCTGTCATGTGCTATAGATAGAAATTCGAATACTAATTCATTGTTTAAACACGAAAATAGCACACCGGTTGAGACTTCCGAGCTCCAATAAGTTCCCGCAGTCAGCCTCGATCAAAAGATACTCGTATCATTGAATGGCGAGTTTATGCATTGATATTTCTCCATTTAGCTTCCGTGCTGTTGGAAATCTAGACTTAGTATGTATGAAGGTTTGGATTTCTAGGTATGATCATCAAGATCAATTGAATTGATTCGACTTCATATGATTAAGCTCAGCTGGGAGACATGAGGTTCAGTGGTATCTGAAATGCAGTGGCTAGGAAATGCTACCTCGTGATAATTGAGTGGCTGGTTGTGGCTAGATCACTGGGAGTCCTGAATTACAAAAGCCTTGGGGATCTGTATTTAACGATAGACTTATTTGCATATGTTAAACTAAGTTAAAGGAAGATTATATTTTATTAATTATCAAGGAAATAATGACCCCTCAGTCATTGAGGTTGTAGAGCGCATTGATTCAAGTGACTACCGAAGTGAAACTCAGTACAGGATTTGTAGTCACGTGTATATCAACAACGTGGCCCACTCGATAGCCCCAATTATTCTAAACTCCAACATTAATTCATATCGAGAAGAGAGTTCAGCATCCTATACAACTATCAATTAATTCTTGTCCCAAATTGTACACTTGTTCTTCGAGATATTTCCTTTTAGAAATCCTTGACGATTCCTAACACGTGCCGAGTTTTAATATCCCTCTTTTCTTCCGAGAGTGGAAGTACTAAAGCCACGCAGATCAAATTGGCGAGAGATTCTGCGGCTATAGTTCCTAAATTACCAACAAATCCATGTTACCAATGCTGGCTAAACGGGTCTTTGTTAATTTGTAGTGATCTCTTTAGTCTATACAACGGTGAATCCTCGAAAACGGTTCATAAAAGAGAAGCTGGTGTGCGGCGTGTTGATTGATGTAGCATATGAAAACGTTGGCGTGCTGCATTCGTTTGCGACGGGAATTTCTATTGCTCGAGCGGAACTGGCGCCGTTAAGGTCAACAGAGCTACCGATCGTAAAAGAAAACCATTTAGCCTCCTACAATAAGCCTGGATGCGAATAAGATAGGGGCCATTCGATCTGATCTGAGATATGGCGGAAGCGAGATTCTACGTCGCGTTGAGACAGAACTTGAACGAGCTGGTAGAAGTGAATCTTATCGGATTTATTCGTTTTATTTTTTATTCCGAGTTGCAAGTGCGAAGAGGAGCCCCACGACTCTTCAGTCCAGCAACCGCGCCGAGGAATTCGCAGAGCTCGACAGCAGTAGAAGCGCAAACTTGGGGCGTATGACGTGGATAGAGGTTTCCGCACAAGAGTTTCTTGCGCCCTTTTCCTTCGCCCTTAAAGACCTAACCGTTTTCAACCTCGCAAGCGCCAGAGAATGTGCCCAGCAGCCTGACAGTCCAAGAAACTGAGAAAGTTCTGAGGATGACCACATCTGCTTGTATGAAACGGATCCTTTGCATCGAAACGTTTACTCGCCCCTCCCATCTAAGAAGCAACGTAATGACTAGAGGGCTGGCAGACGGTAGTAAAGTTGTGGATGGGCATTCATAGAGACACACCGCCTCCGCTAGTCTGACCACATGCGAGAGGAAAGCCAAGCCGGACAAAGAATTTTGATGCATTGTGCAGAGCCGCAATCACGGTTGAAGTGGTGTTCTATGGTATAGTTTGAGTAGCCTGGGCACCTGCTCCACTTGGGAAGGAGACGCCTCAGACCATATTTCGCGCGGAGAAAAGTTGAAAGATGATGGAGGCATGTCTGGATAACTCAGGGTTTTTGAGACGTTCCCCTGGGTGGGTATTCACGGATGAGGGTTGACTTGGGGTGAACAAAAAGCCGCCATAACTTCGCAGTGGTACCTGCAAATGAAATCTAAGGCATGAGTGCTCTTCCTTTACGTTGAATCATCTTTTCTGTACTTTTCTTTGATATTGTGTCATAGCTAGAATGCTGCATACGCAATTAAAATCTGATGCAAAAAAAAAAAAAAATCACGGTTGAAGGGGCGTCTGTTTCGTCGCGTCGGGTAACCTGCGGCTGACCCAATGAGCCGAGCAAGAGCCGCACCAACCATTTCGCTCGCACGGACAAGAAGGCGATGCGGCCTCTTGCCGAAAACGACCTCATCTTTATTGTGCACGTGGTCACTTGGCTTGCAGTCAAGCTCGGCCTAGTGGCCGGGCGAGCCGGCCGGAACGAGCTGCATGAAAAAAAAAATCATGACCACGATTTCGGGTCTGGTATGACCGGGTGCTGTCTAGCTTCTGCCGCCCATGCTTTAATTAGGCCGAGGTACAGCATTTGCCCGAGCGCCTAGATAGGACTAGTCGAGCCGTGAGCCCAAACACCATGAGTTTATTTTCCTCTTAACCCCTTCTAACCGTCCTTATTTCGCGGCCGGCTAAAGGGATCCAGATGCCATCCACGCTACATGGCTTGCATTATCCCTCTGCCCTTGCTTTTCTGGAGCTAGTGTTTCATTGTGCCGTTCAACTGGTCTACGCGTATCTGGGTCCAGGTCCAGAGCTCGCTGCAAGGCAGCGTATGCAAGTGGCAAGCAACGATCACTGTTGTATGAGATGCAGGAGAAAGAAGCTTTTCATTCAATGATATATAAAATTTCTCACTTAAACTTCTGAAGATATATCAAGTATCAGCGTCGACCCGAACCGCTTGCTCCGTCAGACGTAGGATGCAATCGACGACTGCGCTGTGAAGGCTCTTCAGCACCTCTTTCAATATGCAAGCTTCCCTCGGTCTTCTTGTGAAGCCATTATTTGGCGCTATATAACGTAGTACATCTGCCACAATTTGGTAGTCTGAAATCGGGCGCACGCAGAGATTATGGAGATGTCCGAGGTCGAAAGCCTGGCCTAGCAGCACGCGATCTGAAGTGCCACAAGTGAGTGTGAATGGCTCCCTTGTTTCGGCAATCTGCTCCCATTATCGCTCTGACAAAGTCAGACAACCGTACTTTCGCCACGCTTGTTCACATTACCGACCTCGGACATATGACCGCCATCTTTTGTTCTCCCCGCAGCTCAAAGAATGCAGAGTTAAATATTACCTTGCAACATGAGATTACATTCGTGTACTCGGTACAGCACTTACTCGTCAAATTTGACTTTCTTTTTTCTTAGATCCGCATGTGGTCGCCAATTCTACAACCCCTCCCACCCGCATTGTACTTGATCATTTCTTCTTGAGAATATGATTCACGCTGGATACGGAACAACGAGTAAGTTTATTCCATGGTTAATCCTGGCATTAGTTTTTGATTTCACTGCATGCCTTCGCCAGAAACTGGAAATACACAAAAAATTCATGGTATACCTAGTTTGACAACTGCTGTCTGCATATTTATCCGGCAATCTTGATCGAGATATTCTCCTGGGTATTGCGTTCATGCATTGTGTAGACTGTCAGTAAAAAATTAAATTCTGTTTTCTTACGAGAGTCATTATCAGTGATGAAAGTCGAGACTGTTGGCTCTATGATACATTTTCGATCTTTGTTCTATTTTCCCACGCTTTCCCAAAATTTTCCCAACACGCATAACGGAATATCCCATCATAAATTTAGTGCTAATAAGTTGCCGTAAAACTGTACATATGTTCTTCTTGCTAGGCCCATTGGTGACTAGTTGACATTTTCTAAAAATTGACATGCGTTTCTTGCTACCCGGGATATTTAGGATGATAATTAGCTGCTAATGTTCTGGTTTTTGGCCATAAACTGCAAATCTATGATCTTTGTCAGAAAAAATGGATTACTTGCTGAAGTGAGCATCGAAGATGACGTCTCTTGAGCCTACCCTTAACACGAAGGTGACAGCTGAGTATTAGAGAGAGGCAGGGAATAAACAGGGAAACTAACAATGGCCAGTATCCATGAATATCTTTAGTTCTCCATTCTTTTCGCACTTTTTCCAGGAACAGTTCTAAGTCTAGAACTTCCCAACCGAGAATCCTGGTGAAGACAGCACAACTTACTCCACCGAGTCCCTCTATCATGCTTTGCTTTATAAGCTCTCCTGCTTCTTTAAGACGATTATCTGAGCACCATGGTCCCATGGGAAGCACGTCTTCGTGTACACATATGTTAATAAACCCAGATTCCTCCATAGCTATACGTATATCCTGGGCTGTGACGCATAGGTCACGACCGGCCGCACGCATCCCAGCATGAAATAGGGCATGCCATTGAAGGATGTGACTATCAGCTGGAAAAGGACCTGAAGGTAGACTGTGGGGTAGAAATGATGTTTCCTGAGCTTCAACCCATCCACCAGGAGCAAGGTGCGCGTAACACTGACGCAAGTAAGTAGGCCAATGGCGAATTGAGTGGCCCGACATTGCTCGAGAATGAATCATTGAAAGTGAGCGCGAAAAAACCCATGGGAGGTCAATATCATCTATTCGGAACTAGTTGTACGTTACCTAGTGTTCCACGCCTACCAGGAATAATATTTTGCAATTGGGAGTATGGGTAGGTACCTCGACATTAGGAGCAACCCTATTTACCGCCAGTTAACCGGTGAAAATAACTGACCAGAGTACTTACCACTTTGGCTGAATTGGACTCAGATCTATCCCTACGACTGCGTTTGTTGGTCAAGAACCTTTAGTGTAACTAAATCAAGCTCTTCACGTACCATGTGCTTCAGGATACTGGTCGCCTACATCTATTGCCCATATTCCTAATTTGTATCAGTGAAGTCCTCTTGGTATGAGAGGAACCATACCGGTTCCCGTACCCATGTCCACTATTCTCTGAGGGTTTTTGAGTGGAGCAAAGATCGCTTTGCCATCGAATACCGTGTCAATAGCCTTATATACTCTTTCCAGCCTAAAAGACTGGATGAGAATTTAGAGCCGACGCTGTGCACATTAAGACCTCACCTTTCTTTTTCTCTCTAGTTAGCGACAGATAATTAGTTTCCAGCTGGCTGTTTCTATTCGAGATTCTGTAGAAATACCTCGTCGTTAGGCAACAAATACTCTATAGTATTTCTATCAGCATTAAAACTGCTAGCAGTAATGGTTCTGAGAGACCTACTTCCATCCATGTACTGTTGTATTAGATATGTTAGCTAAGTTTCTAATATTCTAAAACGATTACAGACGTACAGCATGATATGTCCTACCGTTTTCGACACGATAATCATAGATACTATCTGTAACAGAACAATAATCCGCACCACTTCCTTCGTCGTCCCCAAGCGTGGAATCTAGATCATCATCGTGAGACGTTTGCTGTACAACAGTCAGTCTAACTCGTCAAAGATGCAGGATTTGTGAACGAACCAGCGTTGAAGCCGGAGGTACAACAGCTAAGGAATCAGGCTGCATCGTGTCATCGGCCATAGATCCGGACGTCGACATGTCGCGCCGCATTTGGGCTTTGCGAAAATAGATTTCAATGATAATAAAATTGACAGCTCGTTGCAATAGTCTTTGGTCCACCTCTTCCTGCGTCCTGTCCTCTTCGCTGCTTATGGGGATAGAGGTTTTTGAATTGTTAGAGAGATGAGATAAGGCGGGTGCTCCATGGTGGATTATCAAGTTCAATCTGATGTTGCGCGCATCCAGACGACTGGAACAGCTCTAATGTTGATAAGTACCTGTAACCAGACAGTCCAGGTTATCCTGCTACCTGGCACGCATGTCATGCAGAACAGATCTTCGTCCTTTAGCCCCAAAGTGCCTGCAAATCCCACTCAAAGTTTCGACCTCGTTTACAAGGAGCCATCGTCAATCCATTCGAAGATCGACATTAAGCGCATGTCTCTCAATCAGTCCTGTGTGGGAGTATTCGGTGATCAGGATCCCTACAAGTTGCTATCGAGCTCAACAACATCTATTTACAGCGCTGTCAAGAGTAGCTCGCACTTCAATTTAAGTTTGCTCGCGTCATTCCTAGTTGACATTAAGGGTTGGACACCAATTTACCTATCTCACCATTTCTGTAAGAAATAGTCCTCGAGTCCTGTTTTATTGTAATATAACTTTTTATCAACATGGTAGCATATAAACTTTATGGAATATGTCAATTATTGGTTTTTGTAGATGAGAAGGAAGGATCGGACACAGAAGTTATGAAATGTGCTGAGAAATAAACTGTGCAACGAATTAACTGCTAGTACAACTGGCAGGTTATGCTCCGTGTAGTGTAGCATCTAGTATACTAAGGAGCTGCCGAGCGGCAACCCGTTAAACCACGCATAGAAATCGCAGACATCTCGCGAGTGATGAATATGCTTAGGCCGACATAATCTATGACCGAGAATACTCGGTAGCGCTGGTGTAAATCTACACCAGAAATGGCTACAGCTAGATAGTCTCGTGGCGATTTTGCCTATTTTACTGCCGGATATTCATTTAGTCCATGCGAGTCTGAAGTCAGATTTTTATTATAAGATCTACGTCTCTCATTCATCAACCCATCTACGCATACCTTTCTACATGGAATGTTCCACCGAAGTTGATCTGCTCTACTAGCCGATTGAAAGACCTAGTTTATGATAGCCACTTCTTACACTAGGGATTGTCAAGCCCCCTTTATTTGGCCATTGTAAACCGGTATCGGACGAGGGGAGGTGGCATTAGATGCGTTCCACCGGAACGCATGCCTACATGGACGACAAGCAGGGCATAGCTGCAGCAGATGAGGAGACCGCTTTTCCTTCAAAGACATGAAAATCCAATATTCTGCGGACTCGGAATAACTAACTTCTGTGAGGCAGCTAGGCCGTTCTGCTCGGAGGAAGTGTGAGTGCAGAGGGGCGGCAGGTCCGGGGAAATCGCTAAACTCACATGGTCCGTTCCAATTGACATATCTAACTAGTTGATCTACGCTCTAATGCACCTTGCCGTTTCGCACGTGAATGCTATTGTAAAACATAAGAGACGCAAGTGATGGAAATTTTCAATATGATGTGACCACAGCCAACTGTCAATGTATCTCTCGCTATGCATGTTGGTATACCCTTAAAGCCAATTGCAAAGCTCCTTTTCGGATAAGCCTTTTAGGGCTACATGCATGTTAGGCCCGCATGGGAATGGATCCACACGTCTCTCCCATGTTAAGTTCCGAGGCTGTTACGGCAAACACATCTTCATTGAAAACGGCCAGGGGTCGGTATGCGATCAAAATCCGTCGGGCTGGCTCGATAAAAGTATGAGTATCAAGTCTGATTTAAATCTGATAATCAGGCCGATAATGCAAGCACCGGAAATCAGAGGCAGAGATAAACACCCAGTTGATCAACTAATTTTAGTGGGGCATCGTTAGTGCTTCTAGTCCATGAAGGTACCATAGTACAACACACACTGGGAAATTAAAGCTCGACATCAACTTCCCAATTGTATGGTATCGCACATTTTCATTCGCACGATTCTTGTCCACCTGACGAAGAAATGCTAGCAAGATTCTCATATTCGTTAGGAGAAACAGCCATTCTGTAGCAGAGTGTCTGTTGTATGCCTGTTACAGATTTTGGCTCATCCAATCAAATCAATTCTACAAAACATATCGGAGAACCAGGCCTGAACACAACGTCTAGTGATAAGTCTTTCTCCAGCTAGGTCTAAGCAACAAATCTCGTAACCTCTGCGCACATTAGATATCAATGACTAGAAGCAGGAGACGAAACTCAATAATTGTCAGTGGTGTGCACGACGTACCTCTAGCTCTCACTATAGAGACTGCAGAGCTGAGATTGAATAACAAAGTTCTCACCTCGATAAGAATCACCAATCGCTTTTGCAATATGTATCGTCTTCATCTCTCTACTAAACCCCCCAATACCAATACCAATACCATGAAGCAAGCCACAGTTAGATCAGATGGTTGAGTCGAAGTACTACCCATCAACAACTCATGTTCTCGTTCATGGAGAAGCTATCCGATGAGTTTCTAGAGCGTGCATAGCACCCTATATGGCAATTATAGATTGGATTAAGTTGAACTATAATGTTACAAGGGATGGAGTGAATAAATAGAATTTTATTCGTGACGAGCACAAGCCTAGCATCCATAAAGCATGACACAGAGAAGACTGGTCCCTCTGCGACCATAATATACCAAGATAGCTCAGTTTCACATTAGGACCACTCATGCAGTGGGCGCATTCGCTGATACAACTCGAGACCTTTATGCCAGGGACAATTATCCTTCAGTTAGCTGTGAATATTCACCAAAGGGAAAATAGGAAAAACCCTTGGTTACCCTAACAAATTTTTGCCATTTTGTATAAAGCCGCCGCGTGAGATATGGCCTCATAGTCCTCCCTTCCTCGAGTGAGGTAGGTGTCCAGGCTACCCAGTCTTTATTTCGGGGTAATGACGACTAGGAGGCGAACCAAAACCCCTTCTATCGTTGCCTGTTTAGAGTGTCGCTTGCTCTATCCGAAATCGTTCCCTCGACGCCCACAGACACCACTAAGTCAAAAACACTCGAAAAATATTGGTTCCATCATATTCATCGATGACCTCTTTCCACTATCATTACATATCCCAGCTGCCTGTCCTCCAACTGGGTTTGAATTCCCATTAAAACAATGGCCCCCCATAGATCAAGATCAGAGCTTTGTATATTTGACTTAGTTTCCTTCTCGCGGGTCAACTTAACATTATCACTTTTTAGTGGGAGATGACCGATTTTTGATGAGGCAAGTCTTGATTACAATTGGAGTAAAGATTTTGTGGATAGCTAAGGCGAGGTAGTGTAGTAAGATTGAAGTAGTGGACTCGTAAGAACGAGAGGTCCGACATTGACGAGAAGTCGTCTATTTAGATATTCTTGAGATTGCTTCCTACTTCGATATTCTTGGCTATCCCAAGTATGCAGAGCATGATGGACATCTACACTGGTGTTGCTGGAAGGTGAAGAATTCGTCTTTGCCGGGTATGACTACAGCGTGTATCCTGGCTCGCGCTTTAAAGGCGAGCTTTTCATGTGATTTTCACATGATTATGCTTCTTCAATTATGGTTTTTTCGATCCGAAAATGGCATCTTGTTATTCTGCACGATCAAATCGCCCTCTAGCTTCAAATGTATTTTTATATCTACGACTGCAAATAATGCTTGCCCCCCCTACTCCCCATGTTCACCTGTCAGTAGTATGGGCACCAAAGACACTGACAGAAACACTGAATCAAGCGACATCCGCTGCCAACGCAAGAACGTAGGAGGCAACTCCTTTGTTTTGCTGCGTGGCCGCAGCATCAGATAACCGTACTTGTGTTACAGCCATCTCTAAAGTCTCCCTCCATCTACAGAAAGCAGACAATCAGTTCTAGACACATGCGCAAGTTATTGCACAAGAACTCTTTGAAAATCTTATGCGAGGTGTACCGAATCCCGCAATTACTATCCATAGCCTGATAGCCCAGCCAAAGCTAGCTGATCATACGAGTCCTTCATACGCGAACTTTTCGAGAAAACCGAAGGGCAGTGCTTCATTTGGCACCCCCTAGAAGCGAAGACCTTTTAATCTCCAAAAGCAAGCCAAAATACTGTCTTTGAAAAATCGATTATTTCTACGCCTTGATGAAAACGCGACAGAATACCTGACATTAGCGCAATCGCTCTTCCTTCAAATCCGAAATTTCTTCGGAGAGAGCTTCGCTATGCTGAAGGAAGTATAACATGTCCCATCTACCCTAGCCATCCGTCCCTCTTCAGGAGCGGCCTTAAGAAAGTTAGAAGATATATTCGTCCAGAGAAATGGGGAAGGGATATATCAAGCTGTACAGGGCATTGAAATGGCCCGAAATCTGAACAGCTACATAATCACATCTGTACCCCGTACATTGACAACTTTAGACAACAATGACTGTCTCATTAAAGAACTGATCACTCAGAACTTGCTCTAAGGGAACTGAAAGAAAAAATTGGGGTTAATCCTACTGTTGTACTCGAGGCCAAGGGAAGTATTGCATCTCCCCACCATCCATCCAGATTTATCGCTCGTCTCCCAAGAAGGTTATATCTTTTTGGGATGGACATCAACTGCCGTTAAATATCTAGATAGTCACTATCGCTGAATGCGGTAGATATTTTCAATGGTATAACCAGCGTATCTACGCCTATGCTCCACTCTGCCGTCTCTGCGGCTCAGTCGAGCATATAGAGGAAAACCACAAGCCATGTGGGCCGCACCAAAATCCCTGCCCACCGCGATGTATCCACTGTCACGGTTCACATCCAACTAATGCGCTAGAGTGCCCACTCAGACCTCAACTAAATGGTATAAAGCTGACAAAGGGGCAAGTAGTTCAAATCTGTAGCACGTCTGCTGCAGTAGGAATAAGTGCTGGGAATATGTTACGAGGGTGGAGCTGTTGTAGGTTTAAACTTAAATAGGATTAGCGTCCCTTGAAGGTTTATACC